TGCTCCCATTTGATGTACATAACATACATTTTTAATTTCATTTTTTTTTCAAAATATGTACATTGATTTTTTTGTTCAACCCCTAAAAATCAAAATGGAAGTACGGCCATATCTTTAACGAAAAAAGAAAGAACCGTGTCCCGTTTTGTATGGAACTTGGGCCATTTTGTATAGAGATGTGACGTATACTATCTTAAAGGGCACAGTGCGTAGATCAATTATATATAGGTACCCAACCCCTAAATCGAAAGGAAAGGGGTTAAAAAGGGGGTTATATGGATAACCTCCAAAATGAAGGCATCACTTTCGAGGGCCATGGCTCCCTAACTAAGGGAGGTAGGGCAACACTCTTTGGGTCCAAATTGAAGTACTCGAGATTACCTATCCAACGGTATACATAACATTCACATTTGTTTATATTAAAGTAAAAGTACCGTTACATGAATAAACGTTAATTTTTTGGGTGAAAAAGTCATATTATACCCATTTTCTGGGGCTGAGGCAGGGGCTATCACTTGGGTATGTTCAACAAAGTTGTACAGCGTTCCAAGGGGAACAATATTGCTTCAAACTATTTTGCCCCATCTCCTTCAATAATGGGTCTACGGCCCTTCACTCTCATAAAATTTTAGCCTGGTACAAAGGGCGGTGTTCCTTTTTGTGTCGTACGATGTTTATCAATAAGACTTATACCGTGGAACAGTGGGGCGTAGTGAGTATGTCGATAATATCAAGGTTGACCTGCCCTACAGGGTGTAAACGGGGTGTTATAGGGGTGAGTAATTTTTTCAATACCGACACATTGTTGGTCAAGAAATAAACCATTTAGTGGATAACTATGTATGGACGAAGTGTTCAGGACGTTGCATAGTATCTTGGGTGAGGTCGCCCTACACCGTTTGGCCCGAAAGAGGGCCAAAAAATGCACAAAATCACCAAAACAAACATATGAGGCATGTTTGACCCTTTTTTTGGCCAAAGGGATGGAGGGCGACCTCACCCAAGATACTATGCAACGTCCTGAACACTTCGTC